AGATCAAATGGATCGCAAAACGGAAGCTTTATTACGTAGAGCCTGGGAAGCAAGCTCATTCTCTATGGCTCCTGCTTTAGCTGGCGCTTGTGTGGTCAGAAACATGGATTTTTGGCTGGATAAGATGTCCCAGGGGGCCCCCACAGAACAGATTTTGGAGTCTTTCTGTGGCAGGAAGGGTGTTTCTTACTTAGTAGATGCAGCAGCTGAATCAGTTGGGGCTTCTGCTAGGTCAGCAGCCCTTGTTAATTGAGCCAGAAGAGCAGTTTGTATCAAATCTTGGGATGGTAATATTGCATTCAAATCTAAACTCTGTGGTTTGCATTTCGGATCAGGTTTAGATGACATTTTAGCCAGATCCTCTGTGAAGGGTAAAAATGTTCTTGAAAAACCTAAGAGATTTTGTTTTTGTAAGTTCTGAGAAACCCCTTGACTGCAGTAAGATGGGGTAAAACCCAGGAGCAGAAAAAGAAGTGGCCCTTCAATAGAGGTAAACAAGAGGGGGGTCTGCTCTTTACTACTCCTGAATCCTCCATCAAGGATTCAAAATTACACCAGATTTAGAGGTAGGGGGAAGACTTGCGATTTTTCACGAGCAATGGACAGATTACAAAAAAATCATTTTCTCTCTTCTAAAAGAGGGATATCGGTTACATTTTTTTTCCTCACCGTTTTCTTCCTGACTTTGTTGCCGAGGGATCAGGTAAAAGCTGTAACTTTGATAGATTCTATTATGAGTCTAGTTTCTCAAAAGGTTATTGTCCAGGTTCCAAAAGAAGAACTTTTTTCAGGGGTTCAGGATGATGTTAAATCTGAAAAGATTGAACAGTTACTTAGTAACCAAGAGCTTCAGAAGGGAGAGCATTTACTCTATTCAAAGGCTGTTACAGAAGGACATGTTCATGATAACTCTGGACTTAAAGGACTCTTATTTTCATGTACATATTTACCTGGAATATCAGAAGCTTCTGAGGTTTGCTTCAGAGAGAGAAGGGCCTTCTTCATTATCAATTAAGAGGGTTGCTCCAGAAAAGTTGTGGACACATTGTTGTCTAGTAGGAAGCCTGTGACCAGAAAAAGTTATAGCAAAGTATGGAAGGTGTTTTCCTCATGGTGTAGAAAGAGGTATATTTCAGTTCCTTTGGTCACGGCCATTTTGGATATTTTATAAGATGCGGTAGACAACCACTTAGCAGTTAGCACCTTGAAAGTGCAGATTTCTGCTCTCTTGGTTTATCTAGATATCAGTCTAGCAGAGAATCCTTTGATTTAAGTGCTTTTTTATGGCTTTCCCATAGAGCGGCACCAGTACAGAACAGTTTTTTTTGTTTTTTTTCCCCCTTGGGATATTTTGTTAGTTCTCAGAGGTATTACTTAGAATCCTTTGGAACCTATTGAAAAAGCCTCCTTTTAAAATGGTTGTTTCCTTTAGCAGTTACATCAGCTAGAAGAGTAGGAGATTTACAGGCCTCGTCAATCAAAGACCCATATATTCCATTTTACCGGATAGGGTAATTCTTAGACCAGATCTGTTTTTGTTTTGCCTAAAGTAAGTTCACTTTTTCATAGATCTCAGGAGATCATTTTGCCTTCTTTTCGTGAAAACCTAGGAATCCAGGGGAAGTGTTTTTTCACTCATTAGACGTTAGAAGATGTCGTCTTCTCAGATACCTAGAGGTTTCCAAATCCTTCAGAAAGACTAGTCTTTTTTTTTGTGCTGTTTACAACACCAACAAGGGGTTGTCTAGCTTCTAGGTCCACTATTGCAAGATGGATCAGACAGACTATTGTCTTAGTATATAACAAAGAAGGATTAGAGGTTCCAAAATCCTTAAAAGTGCATTCCACCTGGTCTTCGGCAAAATCATGGGCAGAAAGAGCGGGCGCATCGGTTGAACAGATCTACAGAGCTGCGGTGTGGTCCAGTCAGGATACCTTTGTAAAACACTATAGAGTGGAGATCCTTTCACAGCGAAATCTAGCCTTTGGCAGAAAAGTTATGCAGATAGTGGTCCTATCCTAAGGTAGGCTTGGTGGATTCCTTGCTTATTCTCTCCCCTTGCTGTCCTGTTAGAAATTCCCAGTCAGACATACCGGTAGCAGTATTTCTGAGACTCTTCCAGGACAGCAAGCCTACACCCCACCCTTTTTTTTTTTTGTGGTGCTCTCCCTCTTCACACGTTCTATTGCCCACTATATATCGTGAGAGCGCTGCAGCTGGGACAGATCTCGACAAAATTGTCGAGATCCACCCAGCTGGCTGATTGACAGCGTGCTCTGCCTATCAATAGGCAGAGCCAGCTATGCCCACCCCTCCCCTATTCGTCCCTCCCTCCAGTCAGCGCTGGCGGATCGAAAAGGGGAGGAGGGAATCCCAGTGGGGAGAGGTGACTTATAGTCACCGAACTCTGCAGGAAGACGATGTGGAATTGAGCGAGCGATGGTATGTTTCCGCTCACTATCTGAGCAATAAAGCCGACATGTGACAGTTTCAATGTCGCACGTTGGGTCTAACTATGGGGTTAAGTGTAATTCACTCACCCCATAGTTCTCCTTTTTAAGTACATATAGTTAGCCAAATAAAATATTATTCAATAGCTTGTAGGGCCCCTAAGACTTATTCCCTTGCACTGTACTGGCAGTGAAACCTAATGCACAAAAAAATGAACAAGCAAACTTTTGTTTTTTGTGGTGTGGCATACTGCAAGTGTGTTGCCAGCTACTGTACTTGTGCATTAGTGTGCCATTCAAAATTAATTTTGCTGTAACTGCCTAAAACCTATGACTACCCTTCTCACAGAGTGGCAACGCTGCCATTATATAACTGGAAAATTAAATGTTACCCTGTTAAAGGTAGTGTAAAAATAATAATAGATCTACTTTAACTAACTTCCAGCTTGTTAAAATCTTTTTTTGCCAATCTTTATTTTAATTAATATGTCCCGAGTGGATAAACATGTAATTTTTTTTTTTTTTTTAGTTCCATTCCCTGATGTTGCGATTACATCTGTTTTTTGTTCCGCACGTTGCGCTGAAAAAAAAGTAGAGTGTGCTGTACTTTTTTTTTTTTCATCACACTGCAACGGTGTCCTTGCATTAGCATCCGTTGAAAAACAGTACACAGCGTAACAGATCTGGTGTGAATGGGGCCTTAAACATATACAGTATGCAAAGCTTTTTAAAATTGTAATAATGCTGTTCAGATTTTTTAACAAAGTTTGTTAAAATAATCATGTGCCATATAAAAACATATACAGTATATTGCGTAATGATTTATTTTAACTTTAGACCTCAGAGATGTGAAAATAAAAATAAAAAACTACTTGTCCAAGGACTAAAGCATGGGCCCAATCCACTTGTCCCTCATGACAATCTTGTCGTGATACAAAAAGTAATTTTAACCAAAACCATATTTAGAAGCTCTAACAAGCGCTTCCCATCTGACCGAGTACAATTTGCAGGCGTAGTTCAAAATCAGTGCGCTGGATGGCAGTACGGGGTAAAAATAGCACATCCGTTCTGATGGAGGGGAAGGACCATTTCCAAAAGCTAAGTATATTGGGGGGTGGTCAGATTTTAGCGGGCGATTACAAGTAAACTTGCCCTTTAATGCACATTGTGCGTGTTAGAGAGCGCTGCTAAAGCCCCAGCTAACACACACACATAATGCCCTATGTGTGCGTTTATTCACATGCAGACGGCTGGGGCGGTGGGGTTGGTTTTAAATTTTTTTAAATTGTATTATTTTTTACTTTTTTATGACTTCTTTTTTATATTTATTTTATTTGTAATCGCTTGTTTTAAATTATTTATTTTATTAATTTTTTTAAACCTTTTTAAAATCACATTTTACATTTTTTAAAAGTTTTATTTATTTTATATATTTTTTTTCCTTTTCAACTTTTATTGCTATCACGCAGGTGCTAACAAGCCCCTATGTGATAGCATTTGGAGGTGACAGGTTCTGTTTAGGAATGTTCAAAAACCAGTTTAGATACCAGTGCCAATACTTGGCATTTTCACGAGAACTACCAGGGTCGCAGAAGTTGCAGCTGTGACAGGGCCCTGGCACTCCGCCACTGTCCTGAAATCATTAGTCTGTATTGTTTTAGAAAAATTAAGAACAAAAATGTATGTGCCTCCTAACTTTTGAGTTTTTCTCTAGTCCTAGTCTTCGACCTAGAAACGTTTCTGTATATATACCAAGTACGGTACTTGGTATCTGAACATTCCTAGTTCTCTTAATGGAGCCTGCCCACCAATATAGAAGATTGAGCACAGTGCTGTGCTCAATCTCATGTGCAGCCCGGCTTGCGACAGCTGAGACAGGAAGCACTGTGAAAATAAATGCTTTTGTTTTTTTTAGCTCAGAAACATCTAATCACTCAATCCAACCTTTCTCTTCCATAAATTGAGCTAATACAGGAGAGGCTTTGCTGTAGAAGCTGGTAATTTCTGGGTTCATAAGGGTAAGACATGAAATAAATCTGTAAAGTGAGCTGAGAATCAATATTTACCTTGCTAGATAAGTCCTGAGAGCAGAAGGAGCCAAGAGGAGAGTGGGTGGCAGGCCACTTGAAGCTGATATGCTCTGATGCTTACAGTATAAAAGAGATGCTGAAAGACACATTAGTAAGAAGAAAAATTGAATTTAGGCTACATTTACATGTTGCCGGTTGTCCCCACTGGGCTTGGAAGGGTGTATTGAGCAGATTGCATTAGGCTGCAATTTCCTGTGTATTTCAGTTGCTTCTTTCACCAAGAGAGCGATAGCAGCATGGGCCATACAAACACTGAAAATGTGATCTTGGATGCTTTCCTGCATCCACCCATTTTTATTAATGTAGCCTTGAAATAAAATAACAGTATTGGTGTACAACCGAGATTTATATTTTGTATTGCTTTGTGTTTCAAACGTTGGCTATTAAGCAATATTTGCCCTTAATTGTAATAGTTATTTCTATATGGCATTTTTAACTCTGAACGTATCTGTTTTCCAGGTCTATGCATTCTAAATTAGTTTTGGACTTCAACTTGTTTCCTTGCTACTTTCTATTCCATCTACGATGCTAAACAGGAGCTCCTTCACCACCCTGGTGGTTGGAGTGTTTATTGTATATGTGGTCCATACATGCTGGGTGATGTATGGCATTGTGTACACAAAGCCCTGTGAAAGCCACAGTGATAACTGCATCAAACCATACCTTTCAAAGAGGCCAAAATTGCAAGTAAGTGTCAGACTATATATTGAAAAAATGTATATATAATGTGTGTGTGTGTATATATGTATGTATGTAATATATATATATATATATATATATATAATTGCTTTAACTGCCCATATCATTGGTATTTACATATTCTGAACAAGCAGTAAAAGCACTTTCAAACAAGCCAGCCCTGAGCTCTGTATCTGTAAGCACTGTGGAGCGTATAATTGTCAAATTTCACAACACAGTTATTAAAATCTCAAGCCTCATTCACACTTGCTGTACCTGTTCATGAAACATGCGAAAAGCATGTTTCTTCCTTGCAGTGTCATTGTTGTTAATGGAACTTTAAATGCAGCTAGCGGGATGTCTGTTCTTGTGCACACAAAGCTTGCAGCTCATGTAGTTCGCAGGTTTTTTGCCACATTTGTCGCATTAGGGGAGCAAATTTAAATGAATGGCCTGCCCTATGCAGACGCTCGAAAAACGATGCATGCATTCATGCGTGCACCAAGTATGAATGGGGCTTTAGATCTCTTTCTCTATTACTTTCTGTTGCACCAGAATCTTGGCAGGCTGCCAGCTCTCTAATGTAAACAATCCATAGGTCTTTCTAAATTGAGAAATGGACTGAACATGGACTTTGTTGTGATCTTTGAGGATGAACAACTTCATATTAAAAGCATAAAATATTTAATGTCCTAGTCTAGGTGCATTTAATGTCCTAGTCTAGGTGGGGATAGGTGCACTTTAAAGAAGAACTCCAGGATTTTTTTAAATTAACCTTTGCAGTGCAGAGTGCTCGTTTGTGTTTAGGTGATAAAATAAAAAAGATATACTCACCCGAATCTCTGAGCCGGCCAATTGTCACTACGCTCCCTCCGGCCTGTCTTCCCCTGCCTGCAGCATTGTAATCTTCCTCGGCATCCTCATCTCTTTACACTGTGTATAGACGTTGATGATTTACAGGACCTTAGACCTCTGCAGAGGAGGGAGAGAGACGTTGGAAGGACCGGTTTAATAAAAAACCACTTAGAATTGTTTTGCTTTTTTAATGCGCAGTTAACCCTTGCAGTGGGGGGGAGGGGGAAGGAGTAGCCCCACTGCACGGGTTAATTTAAAAAATCCTCGAGTTCTTCTTTAAGAAACTTTTTTTTTTTTTGTTGTTTTTTTTTGTCAATCTTAACAATAATAGTTTTTTTTAGATGTCAATTTTGTTTTAAAAAAACTTATATATATTTTTTTTCTCCTATTTTAGTTAAGTGTATATACCACAACAAGGACTAGTATTAGTGCTGAAAATAATGTTGATTTAGTTCTAAATGTTGACAACTTTGATGTAGAGTCAAGATTTGAAAGGTAAGAATGTAAATGATTTGTATATATGTACATACTTGTGTGCGTACTATATATCATAATGTAAACACTAACAGTAGTAGAAATTCAGCCCAGCTTTTTGCAATTATTTTCAATTATTTGGATAGTATCAATACCTAAAGACAAATTAGTCAGGTTAAATGTTTCTTTTGTATACATTTCCTCCCTTTTCATTTTAATTTGTGTTTCAGCCAAGTTATCCTCATAGTATCCCTTATAGACTAAAACAAAAAGTTTTTTTTTTTTTTTTTTTTTTTTTTTTTTTTTTTTTTTTTTTTTTTTTTTAGCTAGCGGCACAAAGGGCCGTAGGTAGGGTGAGGGGAGTGAGGCACTGGCCTTGGGCGCAGCTGGGAGACGGGCTGGGGACAGGTGGTAAGGCAGTGGTCAGTAAAAAACTTTGCAAGTTCCTGTGTGGTGACCGGGTCAATAGAGGAATGTATTAAATGTGCTGGTGGGCATGATATATTAATTAGGTAAGATACGTGAAGATCTCCTCATGAATTGCATCTATCTTTTTAAATGAATGGCAATGTACTGGGCAGTTACTGAATTAGTGAGTGGTGGTGGAAAAAGTGAAGATGTAAAAGAGTTGTTGCGGAATGAATGAGAGTGAAGAAATAAGTCTGGCAGCACGGAGGGAGGAATTATATTTTAGGAGGGCGCCTTTATACAGGGTGAAGTGTTGTATGGACCTAGTTTTATGCGATTTCTGGTGTAACATGTTGAAACGAGCAACAATTTCTTTAATACAAAAAAAGATAGTAATAGGAAGTTTGTATAATCCTTGCAAGGTACAAAAGTCACCCAGAGCAGATTACTTCTTTCTCAAGAAATTATAGTTGCACTTTAAGTAAAACTCCTACCTACAGTAGTGAACTCAAATAATAACTACTGTGATCTACTAATATTTACTACAGTAATCTAGTAAAATATACACACGCACATATTTAAGTATTATGTTTTTGCACAATTGTAATGATTAGAGTATATTTTATATCCATTAAAAATGTGTCAAATACAGGGAAATTATGTAATCAGTGTCGCTTCCTGCTCCATTCAGTGGAGAGGAGATCGGCTAACGGAGGGGCAGCAGACCACAGGAACAAGGCAGGGGGGCTGTAGTAGGTGGGGGATTCGGAAAGTCCTGAAAATCAATTTTGAAGGTTAAACTTGTGATTATACTGAGGAGGTTCCAGAACTTACCCTGTATAGTGTTGGCATTCCCTCTGAACTTATTCTCCTAGTGACTACTGTCAGTAAGGAGATGAAGCATACAGTCCTGGGCATCGACTGCACCTTGAGAAAGTAGTAGGACTTTGTGTGTGTACAGTCGCATTACTGTGTTTCTTGTTCATTTCTGACGTGTCTCAACTTTCTCAAGATAAATGAACATTCTCACTGCTGGTCCTAATATAAATTCTCCCAGGAAGTTTACTGTATCCTAACCCTTCTCACTGGACTTTTTGTGTGCTTTCACTTCTCAATAAATCTTTCAGCTTGCTCTTTCTACCACAGCTCCTCTGTCTCTTTGCTCTCCCACCTCTCACCTTTTAAAATGGTAAATAATGAAGTAAAAATTATTTTAAAAGTACTAAAAAGTCTCTACAGGAAAACAGCAGAATAAAATAAAAAGCGTAACATAGCACAGCAGGACCTGGGACACATCTCCCATCAGTATGTAAAGCTGTGTTGTTTGCCCAACCAGAGGCAGATAAACAGTTTGTTCACATGACCTAAAAGAGGCAAAACTGTCTGCGCTACCTGCGTTGTTCTGTTCAAAAGGAGAACTAGTTGCAGGTTAGTTGTCAGTTTGAGCACTATTCATTTTGGTTACTGTTTTGAAAAACCCCTTTAAATCACCTGATTTATCTATTTTTTTTATACATGTATTTAACTTTCCAATATACAAATAATCTCAAGCTTTGAGAGGTGAGCATTACAAGGAACTCTCAGCACCTCTCTTTAGGTCTCTGGTGCCATCCAGAGGCTACTGTAGGCTCAGAATATCTATTGCATATATTAGAAAATATGAAGGGCTAAGATCAGCTTGACTCATATGAAGTTACATACTTACATAGTATTTGAGGTTGAATAAAGACATAAGTCCATTTATGGTTTAGGGACTGGGATTACCGTACAGACTGCAGCAGGGCGAGCAGATGAGCAATGCCACCGTAACCGCCTCCCGGCTGGCCGTTGTAATTAAACGGCCGGCTGGGAGCTTCTTTGATGTGAGTGGCCGTCAAAAGACGGCCTGTTGGCCCCGCCCATTCATGCGCGACGCACGCGAGCTGGAAACTGCCAAAATTTAAAAAGAGGCAAGGATGCCTGTTTACATACAAGCGATCCGCCGGCTATAGAGCCGGCGGATTACTTGTATAAGGTGACGGTCTGTGTGCCCCTCCGCTGCCCGGTGGTTCTGTGACAAGGGGTCAGAGGGAGATCAGTACACAATCTCCCTCCGATGCCCTCTCCGGTGACGGAATGCAGGAAGTGATGCATATTACATCACTTCCGCATTCTGCTGTCACTCTCCGGCTTGAGAAGCTGATGAAGTAGATCTTTGCTTCATCAGCTTCTTTGTGGGTCCTTAGGAGACATTAGGGGTCTTGGAGACCCTTGATGTCTCCATAAAGAGGACCTGTCACATCCTCTTTGCTATCACATAGAGGGCTTTTTAGACCCCTATGTGATAACAATAAAGTTAACTGAAGTTGCAAAAAAAACGAAATTAAAGTCACACATAAAGAAAAAATTTTAAAAAACAAATTTTTTTAAAGTCCTCACCCATACATACACGCGTGCAAAAATGCATTGGGTGCGCATACGTGCGTAAACTATGATTGCGCCCATTACGCCGCACATGTTGCATATCACCGCAAACATTGCAGTGAGCGCAATAATTCTAGGGCCATCAATCGCTGATAACGCTAAACTGAGGAGCAGTGAAAGCTTTTAAACTGTTGCCTATGGTCAATTTTGGGTATGGTAGTTTTTTTGCGATTTCGCGGCTGCGCCAAATTTTAAGGCTTGACATGTTTAGTGTCTATTTACCCGACGTGACCCTGTGTTTTATATTTTACCCAAAAATTGGGTAATAATAAATGTATTATAACATAATGTTAAAAAAAAACAAATTTCAGGAATGTTTCCTTTTTAATATAGTAAAAACCCGCAGTGGTGATTAAATACCACCAAAAGAAATCTCTGTGTCCCCAAAAAAATGGTATAAAATTAATTTCAGTACAGCGTTGCATGACTGAATAAATGTCAGTCAAAGTACTGCAGCCAGATTACTGAAAAATGGCCTGGCTGGAAAGGGGGTGTAAATACCTGGTCAAGTGGTGAAAGAAACCTGTCATCTCCGATGTGCTATCACATAGGGGCTTGTGTGGCCCCCCGTGATGGCCATGAAGTTAACAAAAAATATATAAGTAAATAAAATAAATGTAAACATTTTTTTTTTTAAAGTAAGGTCCCCCTGCGAATGCACGCATACCAATGGAAAGTTGGGTGCATCTACACATGAAAATGACGATTGCACTACACATGTGCGCCAGAGTGAGAGCAATAATCCTCGGACAGTATTCGTGGCTAACTCTAAACTGATGACTGGGATTTTTTCAATATATATTTGTATTTTTGGTCAAATTTTGTTGTGCTATTTTAAATAAAAGTTTGATTATTTTATTATATTAGCTTGGAGTTTTTCAATTAAGATTATTTTAAATCAATGATGGTAAGTAAAATGTCTAATATAATGCATACTATTATTTATGAAAATTATAAAAGGAAAGAAAAAAGTCTTTCAGTTTCAGCCTGACAAATTTTGCTGTAGGAGGTGCATTGCAGTGACATTCATTTCAATTTAAAATTTTTATCCAATTATTTGAAAAATAATCGGCCAACTAATCGATTTATGAAAATCATCGTTCGTTGCAGCCATACAAGTTATTACTTTGTGAGTGGTGGCAGGTTTATGTGTGTGTGTTTTCCTGCATCCAGATAGAAGGACTTATGTGTTTGCAAGTATTAACCAGCATACTGGTTAATTTTTAAGCATTTTAACTTTTCCTTTTTTCCGTTTATCTTATAAAATGTGTCAGATATAACAGGTAGAAGTAGTACAATTTGTCTATTCCATATATCAGATCTCCATTAAAATTGAGTGATGTTCAGCTTATTACTTATGCATATTTATGTCTGTTTTTAGAACTGTGAATGTTACTGTACCCAAGAAAACCAGGAATAACGGCACATTGTATGCATATATATTTCTTCATCACTCTGGGGTCCTACCTTGGCATGATGGTAAACAAGTACACATTGTGAGCCCTTTGACTACTTACATGATTCCAAAACCTGAAGAAGTTAATCTCATTACAGGAGAAACAACTCAGGTAGGGATTTTTGGTAACATTTGCTGTTATTAACTGGAATACCAAACAAATGGTAATCAGACCACTTTCCATTTGTCATAAACTCTTTTTCAACTTCTTTAGGATAATGTAATTTATATTCAAATAGTTTTCTTTCTGTCTTGCGTTAACAGATGTAAAACGGCCCATGTACATTGTGAAAGTCCTAGATCTAGGACAGCTGCTTTTTAAAACATTAATGATTGCCTAATTGGGATTATTCATTAATCAGTGTGTAGCTGATCGAATGCTGCACTGCCTCTAGAGTTTAAAGGTGCCGCTCAGCATTGGAATCATCGGAAGCCCTCCCCTCAGCGGGGAGGGCTTGCGATGATCGCAGGTACGATCTGCCTGTCCAAGATGGGCAGATCGTACGAGATTTTAATTACCTTACAACCATCGCACAACTAAAGTCGTGCGATGTTTGTAAGGTGTATGGGCAGCTTTATACATCAGCCTCTATGTGTGCCAGATAAACCTTGTTAGATTTTGAAGAATATGTATGAGGTAAATGAAATTAATGTCCTGTATGGTATGCACTAAAATTATGCAGGTAAATATATCTACTGGGGACTCTTTTTCATTTGTGTGTTTTCATCCATTCAAAAAAATTCTGCCCTAAATGTCCTTCCCAAATGTTTTGCAATGTGTTAACTCAGTTTAAGGTTTATATTTTTTGGCCTCTAACAAACTTCTGTTTGAGAAAATAATTTGTTAGCAAGCTGTAATCGTTCTAAGGACCTTGTATATGACATGTACTTGTGTTACTGTGTGTTTGTTTTTTTCTATGTTACTTTTGCTTTTGTTCATCAACATGTTTTTCATTGCTTCAAACTAGTGTAAAATAAGTACACGATGATTTCTTCTTATTTCAATGTTTATCCAGTGGTCCTGGTTAGTGGGAGCAAGAAACCTTTGTTCAAATCATATGGTTAGTACAGAGAGTGACCTGGGTTTTTGTTAAAGCTTTCTGCTTCCTTCTTTTCCAATTTAGAGAATTATTTTGCCAGAATTAGGTTGCATACTTAAGCGCAAATTTCACATAAAAAACCTAATCTTTGGAAGTCTGTCATGTGGGTGCCTTGACAGTCCTCCAGAAAGCATTAATGATGTGTATCTCAAGCTAGCATATATATTCTGTTGATAGGAGTCCAGCCTTTTTTTGTGTGCCTTCAGTTATCAGTTTAACACGGAAACCAACTGAGTTAGGCTCGGTTCATACCTAGGCGTAGCGCATTCTCCTGCGTCTGTGCTAATTCATGCACATTGGTTCTCTGCCTTTGCCTCACATCCCCATTGATTTCAGTGGGTTCCTATACGTGCAACAAACACGGAAAGGTAGTGCATGTATTAAAATCTGCAACGTGTGTTCTGTAGGGCTGCAGCTAACGTTTATTTTCATAATCGATTAGTTAGCCGATTTATTAAGTTCGATTAATCGGAAAAAAAGAAGAAAAAAAAAAAGGCTCCAGTGATGGACTACTAGTTTGTATTGAGTTTGTAGTCCATCACGGGAGCAAGCTTGGCACGGTGGAAGTAAAGTGTGCTGTGCAATATAGTACATTATCCAGCGGCACAGTGCAGAATACCAGCAGCTATAGAGGAATGTAGCAATAGTACATTATACTATACGCATACCTATTCCACCACTATATCCCCGCACACCTGTTCCACACTGCAGCTCCGTACACCTATTCCACCACTGACTTGCTTTCAGAAGGTGGGCCCTCGATTGTCGGCGGGCCAGCTACGAGTGAGGGAGAGCAGCGGCGTGCGCGGCTTCAGCGTCCTGTTCGGTGGGCGTGGCTTATGCGGCCTGTGCGGTGGGCACGGCGGGAGCAGCGTGTGACGTGTGGCTCAGGCCGCGTGTGGAGCCCCAAACAGGCAAATCAATCGATAGCCGACGAATTGACGATTGAAAGATTTTAATCGACTAAATCGATAAACTGTTGCAGCTCTAGTGTTCTGCTTTTTTGCGTTTAAAATGCGCACAAACGCGGAAGAAGAATGCGCAAGAAGGCACACTACCGGCTGTGTTTGGTGTGCCATTAACCAGTAATGGCAAAGAAAGTGCATTTCGCAATTGATGCACATTCCCGCAGAGCCTTAATGCAGCTTCTAAATCGAACCCACAAGTTGTTAACCTAATTTCCATCCACAGAAAAACCATATCACAATTATCTTTGAAATTTAAAACTAACCAAACTAAATAGCATATTTCATTGTTTATTCCATATTCAATTAAAAAAAGACTTTTTTAAATTATTTAACAGAATGTTTTAAATAATAATGCAAATGAAAAAGGTATGGACAAAAATGATGGGACCCTTAACCTAACATTTTGAATCTTTAGAAGCAATCTCTGCAAACAAGTGATTTCTGTAGTTCTCAATGAGTTTGGCCCAGTTTTCTTGAGCAAACTGAAGGTTTGAATGGTGCCTTCTCCAGACTGCATGCTTCTTCTCTTAACATAGATATTTTTATAGAATTTCAGATCAGGACTGATGGAAGGCCATTTCAGAATAGTCCAATGTCTTGTTCTTAGCCATTCTTGGTTGCTCTTAGATGTGTGTTTTGGGTCATTATCCTGTTGGAGGACCCATGTCCTGCTACTGAGCTTTCTGACACAGGGCAGTACATTTTACTCCAGAATGCCTTCATAGTCTTGAGATTTAATTGTGCCCTGCAGAGATTCAAGGCACACCATTCCAGATGCTGCAGAGCAGCGTCAAAACATAACCGAACCTCCTCCCATGTTTTACCTTAGGTTTATGTATTCTTTTCTTTGAAATCTTAACTTTTAATTAATTAATTTCAGTACAGCGTTGCATGACGGAATAAATATCAGTCAAAGTACCACAGCGCTGAATACTGAAAAATGGCCTGGATGGGAAGGGGGTTTAAACACCGCGGACCTCGAGTGGGTAAATAGGCTGACTAACTGATTACGAAGATTGAAGACGCATGTAATTCTAATGATTGAAAACAGCTTAAAATATCACTATGATCCAGTTAATTATTATCTTTGGGTTCCAACAAAGCTGTCCAGGTGATTTTAGAATATCTTTGTAGATAGAGCAATAATTTTGTCTTTTCACACTTTCTTTGCTCTACTCTATAACATACCAAAGGCATGCAGGTTTACATTAGATAATTGCTTAATAATTTAATCACACTTCAGGAGGAATGAAGCCTTGTTTCATTATACTGTAAGGGTATCCACAAACGTACCTATGTCTGCACATATATATACATATATATTCCACAAACACCAGACTAAAACTCGGTTCAGTTCAAGTTACCATCCTCTTACATTATCGTGTTTATTTCTTTTAAGCAAATCGATACCGATAAAAAAGAAAATAATGCATTGGATGAACCTGTCTCACACTGGAGATCTCGCCTAACACTGAATGTTATGGTGGAAGACTTTATTTTTGATGGCTCATCACTACCTGCTGATGTTCACAGATACATGAAAATGTAAGTATACATATTTTTATATAAGTAATTTATTTGGAGTAGTAAGCATATCTTATTAAAAAGATGACATACATTATCATCACTCACAAAAAGATCAAGTTAAGGTGCTAAAAGAATTTAGTGGGGTAGTGAAAGACAAATGCATATCTGATTCTCCCACCCCAATTAAGCACCATACTACTTAATGCTAATGTTTAGCCAAACATCTGTGTTTAATTTTTGGGGTGGAAGAAGAGCGAGAGTGGCCCTGCCATATAAAGCCAGCATTTCCACAGTTCTGGGACAAGGTGCTTTAGTACCCAAGGTGTGCTTATTAAAGTGCATCATTTTCATTGATATTTATTTTTATTTATTGTTCTTTTGTATGCATGGTGCAAGCATGTGCAAGTCTCGGATGATAATCATAGCGGATAATTCTTAGGAAAGATATTGAATTTGGAGTTTGTCACTTTTAACTATTCTGAAATGTTAGTGAGCATAATGGAGGAGTGACAGGGTAAGATGTATATAGCAAGCAATGATTGAAAAGGATTGGTGATGTTTGGAAAAACACGAGATGATAAATTTGAAAAAATAAACAGTGAGGAAAATAATTATTTGATCCCCTGCAGATTTTGTAAGTTTGCCCACTCAAAAAGAAATGAAAGGTCTATAATTTTTGTCATAGGTGTATTTTAAATGATATAGAGACAGAATATCAACCGAAAATCCAGAAAAAAACACATGATACAAATGTTATAAATTGAGTTGCAGTTCAGTGAGTAAAATAAGTATTCAATCCCCAAGCAAAAAAAGACTTAGTACTTGATGTAGAAACCCTTGTTGGCAAGAAAAGAGGTAAGACGTTTCATGTAGTTGGTTACCAGGTTTGCACACATCTCGGGAGGGATTTTGGTCCACTCTTCCTTACAGATCTTTTCTAAATCCTTGAAAGAGAACTATGGGGTAATTGTTTTTCCCCATAGTTCTCTTTAGGGTCACGGAAGGACATATACAAGCATCTTCCCTTGACCCAAAGCTCAGTATATCGCAATCTACAGCTCACGGTATACTGAGATCGCCACAGCCGGTACGGATCCCAACAATACAGTCGAGATCCACCCAGCTGCATGAATGACAGCTAGTTCTGCCTATCTAGAGGCAGAGCCAGCTGTACCTACCCCCTCCCCTGTCCGTTCTTCCAGTCAGCGCTTGAGGATCGGAGAGGGGAGGAGGGGAATCCCTGTGTGGGAGTGGTGACTGACAGTCACTGCTCTCTGCAGGGAGATGATTGAGAAGTGAGCAAACGACTGTATCCGTCCGCTCACTTCCCGATCTATTGAGCTGACGTGTGACGGTTTCATTGTCACACGTCGGCTCGCACTATGAGGGTGAGTGACTTCTACTCGCCTCATAGTTCTCCTTTTAGGGTTTCTTGGCTGTCACTTGGCAACTGGAAGTTTCATCTCCCGCCATACATTTTCTATAGGATTAAGGTCTGGAGACTAGCTAGGCCACTCCATGACCTTAATGTGCTTCTTCTTCTTGAGCCACTGCTTTGTTGCCTTGGCGGTATATTTTGGGTCATTGTCACGCTGAAAGACCCATCCACGACCCATCTTCGACCCATCTTCAGTGTTCTGGCTGAGGGAAGGAGGTTCTCATCCAAGACTTTACAATACATGGTCCCCTCCATTGGCCCCTCAATGCAGAAAAGTCGGCCTGTACCTTTAGCAGAGAAACGGCCCCAAAGCATAATGTTTCCACCTCGGTGCTTGACTGTAGAGATTCTGTTCTTAGGGTCATAGTCAGCATTTTTCTTCCTCCAAACATGGCGTGTCGAGTTAATGCCAAAGAGCTCAATTTTGGTCTCATCTGACCACAGCACTTTCTCCCAATCCTTCTCTGAATCATTTAGATATTCATTGGCAAACTTCAGGTGGCCTTTACATGTGCCTTCTTGAGGTAGGGGACTTTGCGGGCGCTGCAGCATCTCAATCCATGGTGGTGTATTGTGTTACCAACGGTTTGTTTGGTGACTGTGGTCCCAACTGCCTTGAGATCTTTCACAAGCTCCTCCCGTGTAGTTCTGGGCTGATCCCTCACTTTTCTCATGATCATCCTTACTCCATGAGGTGAAATTCTGCATGGAGCTAAAGACCAAGGGCGATTGATGGTTATTTTGTATTCTTTCCATTTGCGAATAATCGCTCCAACAGTTGTTTCCTTCTCGCCAAACTTTTTGCTGATAGTCTTGTAGCCCATTCCAGCCTTGTGCATGTCTACAATCTTGTCCCTAACATCTTTTGACAGCTCTTTGGTCTTGCCCATGGTGGTGAGGTTTGAATGGAAGAAAGAGATTCTGTGGACAGGTGTCTTTTATATACATAACGAGTTGTCATTAGGAGCACCTTCTTAAATTGACAGGACTAATCTGTGTGCCACATAGCAAGTCTGTGGGAGCCAGAATTATTGTTGGTTGGTAGGGGATCAAATACTTATTTTACTCACTGAACTGCAGCTCAATTTATAACATTTGTACCATGTGTTTTTTCTGGAGTTTTGGTTTATATTCTGTCTCTATCATTTTGAAATACACCCTATGATAAAAATTATAGACCTTTCATTTCTTTGTAAGAGGGCAAGCTTACAAAATCTGCAGGGGATCAAATAACTATTTTCCTCAGTGTATATGATTGTTAGAACAGGTTATTAGTAAATCTTTGTGATTTTAGCTTACCCAATACTTCTACACTTTGTACTTTCATTTTGCAAATATTGCCTAGACCCGGGTTGTATAATCCCCTTCTTAAGCAAACCCCCACCACTTTAATGATCCTACCTTATCTGCAGTCAGGATATAACTTCTACTGTCTGCTTGTGCACTGCCTTTTTAACCCCTTCATGACTGAGGCCCTTTTTTCAATTTTTGCACCCATGTTATATTCCACATTTTAGGCCTGAAAATGACGTAAAACCCCCCAACAAAAACGGCAAAAGTCGCCGGGAGTCTGTTTAAACAGCCCCGATGCTGGCGACGTACACTGTACGTCGTCAGTCACGAAGGGGTTAATGCAGAGAGTGTTAGGCCCGGTAGTGAACATGGTGGGGAAAAAAACAGGTGTGCATGCTTCAAAAGGTTGCCTGTTAATCAACCCATGTTTATTAGTGGGTTAATAACATCAGAGGTTTGCAAGGGTTTATTGTTTTGGCCATAATTGTCTGTTTTTTTATGTGACATTCATATATGTACATTCTCTATTTGTCATAGGATTCAGCTGGGGAAGTCCGTTCATTACCTTCCTATATTATTTATAGATCAGTTAAGTAATCGAGTGAAGGATTTGATGGTAAGAAATATATAATTTAATTACCTCAGAATCCTTTCTTTTTCATTTGTCAAACTAGGTTTATGATTGTATTGACAGTGAAATTGTAGTGCTATCTCATTGCACACACTTTCTGTATGTTGGTTATTGCCATAATAGTACTTGGCATGAACATAATAGTAGTAGTAACATACTACTGCTACCTGCAAACAATAACTGGTTTCTGGGAGCCAACGTTTTTTTTTTTCCATTTTTGGTAAGCATACTTTGTCCTCATTGTGTAGAGCAGGGGCTGGAGGGGGCGTGGCGGTGCATTGAAGTCAATGGCACTTCAGCCAGGCACCACATCCAGGCCCCTCGCCCACAGTGCGAGCACCTGCACCCAGGCACATTAGTTCCTGCGTTCCAGTCCAGTGCGATCCGCAAAAATGCTGCAAGCACTATTTTTGAAGATCGCACTGGACCGGAATGCAGGCACTAATGTGCCTGCGTTCCGGGGTGCGGGCGATCGCACTGTGGGCGCGGGGGCATGGCTGCAGTGCTATTGACTTCAATACAACCCCACACCCCCTCCTGCACCTGAACGCAGGGAGTCGGACGGCTTGCATTCCAGTGCGTCCTAGAGGCCCCAACGTCCTGTCCTCCCACCGTGCTCGTGTGCCCGACGTTGCACATGGGGAGATGTGTCCCGCCCCTTTCAGTCTACGCCGTCTGACGCATTCAGCCGCACGAGTCCCACCGGAGCATAGCCGTAGCCAGCTCCTTTTGCACCCGAGGCAAAAAAAACGCCTCTGTTTCTGTTCTACATGAATGGAAAGCATAGAGGCTTCCCATTAATGCAGGAAATATTTACTATCATCCAGTTTCTGAATGGGGAGGAGCCTCTGAATGGAGAGGAGCCCCAACCACGCATGGGAGATGGGAGAGAGCTGCGGGGATCCAGAGGGGAAGCCTCAGGACATTGCGATCTACCAGTGATCGCTGCGCAATCGACTGGTAGATCGCGATTGACCTATTGGGCACCCCTGGTGTAGAGCATGTTCCTTAGTACACACTGAAAAGCATCTGCAAGCATGTTGCAAAAAAGGTGTTTTTGATCTCCATTTGTGAAATTCTCAGAATTTCCTGATATGCAAAAGTGTTACAAGTCAGCAACTAGTTTGCCCTTTAAGTGTATCTTAACGCTCAGAAAAAAAAATATTTTATTGCTGATAATGAAAGTAGTTGCGTGGTTTAAGTGATCCTTTTGTCACCATGAAGCTTAGAGCGTAGGCACCAAAATGCTCACTTCTGGGACAAATTACAGGTTGGACATGACGACGCAACAAATGTTGACACTAGAGGTGCACCGAAATGGAAATTTTAAAACCGAAACTAAACCGAAATAAAAAAAAAAAAGAACCGATACCGAAAATGTTTTTTTATTTTTTATAAAATTTTAAATTTTTCTATATTCATTTTTTAATAAATATTTCAATTTTTTACATTGCTTTTAGGGGCTTTGGGGAAATTTTGGGGGTCTAAACAGACCCCTGATGTTTCCCTTTTAAAATAGAGAAAGAGATTTAGGACACAATGTCCTCTATCTCTTTTTCTGTATCCCCTGTTATCAATGAACAGGAATGAGTGTTCCTGTTCATTGATAACATGAGGACATGGTATGTTTACTATACCTACAACTATGAATGAACATGAGGTGATGCAGATCACTCCCATTCATTCATAATTGAGGATATAGTTAACATACCATGTCCTCAATTATCTACAAACACTCAGCGATCACTGATCGCTGAGTGTTTGCTCTCGCCCTCCTCTCTGACACGCTGTCACAGGAGGCTGATCGAGCGGAGCAGGGAGGTGAGCTCAGCCTCCTGTGACAGCGCTGGCTGTCTCCGCCCACACACCGCTCTGCCGGACTGTGATAGGCCACTGAGCGCTGTGGGAGGAGAGCTCGGCCTCCTGTGACAGCGCTGGCTGTCTCCGCCCACACACCGCTCTGCCGGACTGTGATAGGCGGCTGAGCGGTGTGGGAGGAGAGACGCCGACCGCACACAGCACTCTTGTCCTGCAGCGCTCGGCCGGCTGTCACTTTATTTTCTCCCCGCTGGAACACAGAGCAGAGCCCAGCGGGGAGAAAAGAAACCACGGATGCGCCGATGTATCGGCCGAAACATGGCTCTTTCGGCATTATGCCAAAAGTGCAATTTTCGGCCGATATATCTTCCCTAGTTGACACATCCTTCACTATGCTGTGAGAGTTTCTCCTTCTGGTCACCCTCTTCACAGTGACACTAATAATAACAGCCCACACTCATCCCACAGCAGAAAGCTGCTTTGTTTCCTCTCTGTCTCCTCATGTATTGCTCCTTACTTTGCCTCCTTCAAGCTTACTGCTGTGTTTCTTTGTAAGCACCTGGACTGCATTATGGCACATGTAGCCACAGGGGCTGTATGGTGCCATGCACAGGTGCGCACGTAGCCAGGAAGCTGTTAAAATTAGCTTCCTGCGTGTTCTTCACTACATGTAATGCTAAATCACAGCATTTACAGCATTTCTTGGTTTATTACAGTTGCTTTCTCTAAAAGTATTATGTCTCTAGATTGATATAATTTAATATTTGCATAAAAATTTCAAGGGGTAACAATCAACTAAAACTTATGCTTGGATGATTTTTCATTTATTTTGGTCTAAAAGACTTTTGTCATTGGAAATTTAATAAAGATAATGTTTTCCCATATCTAGATGATAAATCGTTCTACAACAGAACTTCCTCTGACTGTATCATATGACAAAATATCTTTGGGTAAGCTGCGGTTTTGGATTCACATGCAAGATGCAGTTTACTCTTTACAGCAATTTGGTGAGTTTAACTTGCATATTTGTATCTAGATAACTAATATACTGTATCTGTTGACTTGTGAGTAAGTAAGGATGGCATAAAATGGATGTACGAATTGGGAATTTGTACAGGGTTCAGTACTCCAGAGGCCCCTGAAGTTTGCCTCATTGTAGCATTGCCTTTCCCTTGCAAGTAAAGGCCATTTTCACCATATGTGGAACACATACATTACTTTACCCTTATTCAGGCTTTGTTTTTTACTTGAGCTCATAACTTGGATATTGCATAATACATTGAGGGAGTGTTCCCCAAAACTACATCAGCCAGTTTGTACTGCTAATTTCATTTGCAGTACCTATCAGAAACATTACATGTCTGCATTACATGAAACATATAGCAAAAGCCAAAATAAAAGTGAAAGTTACTGCAAACCTTTTTTTTTTTAACGATGCCTTTTTTTCATTACTTTATCTTTAAGGATTGGGCTTGTCCAGCTCACTCTCCTACTTTGCTCAGGCATTTTGCTGTCTGGTATCCTTTTGAGGAATCTTGTGAAGAAGTGGACGACTACTACCCTATATATCTAGATTTAATAAGGCTACTGTTATTCCTGTTAAGGAATCCCCATCCTTCCTGGACCCTTCGGATAGGAAGGCAGAGAGTGTAACTCGTTCTATGCACTCGGTTGCGGGTGCCCTGAATAGACGGGTTCTGGCATCTGGCTTGGTCTTGGAAATGTTGACAAAGTGTGCTAATCTTTTACATCAAGGCCTGGAGGCGGAACAGGTTTCCCCTGCATATGTGGAGTTGGTGGACCAACTGGTTAAGGGCCTTAAGTACATCTGTGATGCAGCTTTGGATTCGGGTCAACTGGTCCCCCGGCTGTTTTCCTCCGCAGTGGACCTTCGTTTCTTATGGCCCAAGTGTTGGATGGCGAATTCTAAGAAGGCTTTGACTGAAATGCCTTTCACAGGAGACCGTTTGTTTGGTGCTTTGTTGGACAAGATCTCACTGGGAGTAAGAGCACTTTTCTTCCACAGTTCAGGAAGGTAAAAGGAGTCTTGGTGGAAGTCAGGATCTTCCTTCTCGGCTCACTAGTGCATTTTTCATGGCCAAGCAGCTCCAGACAAGAGGAAGTTGACAAAATTGGCAACTACACAGTCCTCACATTGGCCACGACAGCCCAAGCCCTCTAAGCCTGTGGATAAGTCTTCCTGTGCATGAGGGTTTG